GATACAGAAATACGTGTTTCGTGAAAGAAAGCAAAATATGTGGTTTCGGCAAATAAGGAGAAAGTAAAGGGTCCACCGGCGTGGATTGAGGACGTATCGGCTCCGCTTCGTTCTCGCTGGACCATCGGGATTTACTCGACTCTCACTGGTTTTTCTTTTGCGCGCGGTGCAGGAATGCGACGCATCTTTCTCGTTTCTCCTTTCTTCTCGCTCGAACGCCACGGGAGAAAGGGAGATCGGTGTTGGTACCGTAACTGCACCTTTCTCTCGCGCCGGGCGGCCAGATGCGTTATTTTCAGCCACCGTCGCCGATCTCCCGCGCGATGCGGAAAGATCGCCGCGCGGGATTACGACGGGAAACTACGGGGTGCCGCAGATTCTTTTTAATGGGTGTGTCCGTCCCATATAGCCAGAGCTTCTCTCGACTCTTTTCGAGAACTGGTTAATTATCTCTAGATAAGTATCTGCTTAGCGAAACTTACCGACGCGGTTCAATTTATTTTTCTTAAACAACAAATTTATCGATTTTCACGTCCATTAGTTCTTTACGAGGCAATAATTAGCGGCCACGCTTTCGAGAAAGCTGGCCGCCACGGATCATGATAAATGACCAGAAGATTTGTCGTGCCACAAACTTTGTCGAGAATGTTGTTTTTTCGATTACACCTGTGCACAGTAGATGTGCATGTAACGTGTGTAATATATCAGTCACTATACACAAAAAGTTTCACAAAAAAAGCGTACATACCGATATCGCCTTGGAATAGTCCAAGCACGTTAGTCGTCGATTTTTATCGCGAGTGCGCTATACTTTGCGCTTCTTGCGCCTTATTCTTGTAAATATCTTCTGGGTCACCGCGATTTGCTTCGTTTGGAGATCCGTGGCGCTTGGATACGATCGAGTTTGTCGTTTCCTCCTCCGGTCAACAACATGGATGTCAGACCAGATACGCGGGAAAAAAGTAATAAAAAAAAGAAATAAAGGACTGACTTCAACGTGATAGAATGAGGAAAGTTACTTAACGAGCGTTCGAAATAATTTAAAAGCAACGTTGAACACGATAATTAAGGCTACTTGAGAAAATGAAGGGAAGAGCCTCTTAACATTGTGCAATAAGTTACATAGCCGGTAAAATAAATTTTCCCGCAAGCGCGATTTATGTAAATATTCTCGTGAAGATGAATGGAAAATGATAATCACGGTTGCACGAATATTAGTCGAGCTTAATGACTTTATTTTCCTACAAATCATTACCGTCTACGTAACAAAAGTTGAGGAACGAACGAAACGTAAAGTATATTACGAATGTTTTATTTCTTAACCTTTGCTTAATTTTCGTCTTCTTGCACAACGTGTTGCAATTTCTATAATTATATGCAAACGTAAGTGTGACATTTTCGTGGAAAATGTATAACACATATGCATATAGAAATTTTTGGATAAGTTACCAGTATAGGCTTACTTTGCATCAATAAGTAATCAATTTGCCAATGCAAATTAGCAATGATATTACATAAAGTTGCGGTAATTAAAGTAAACATCTTTCTTAATTGATAAAACCTGTTTGCATCGTATAATACGTTTATACGTGACAATTCTGTTAGATTCTTTCTTCTGTGATTTCGTAGGCAATATAGTCCCGCGATTTACCGAAGTGATTTTCGTAAAATTCACCGTGAAATTATTCCGAGTAAACGCAAATTTTCTAGACAATTATTTTAACCGGTTTAATTTGCAGGCCGTCGACTACACGGATTTGCCGGCGAAGCAGATAGTGCAGCCGTACGTGACGGACGTAGGAGCGAGGAGTTCTGAGCAGACAGGCGCCGCAGACCATTCTGACGATTTCGCGAATGCCGGATTAAGTAGATCAGCAGTTCACGCCGACGAGGAGAGAGGATCGAGTGGTGTTTCCACGACCGATTCCTCCTCGCCAGGATCGATTTATGCGACGCCGCTCTCCGGGACAAGTATCCGTTTAGAGTCAACCGACAAGTATCCATTTAGAGATTATCCAAGTCACGGGACAGGGTACACCGAGGATGTGCTCCTTGTCGAAAGTGCTGGCAATTTTGGAGAAAAGGTCCAGGATCACCCGCGTGACAGAACGATTGTCAGGACTGTCATTCGGACCAGCGAGGGTGAAGAGGATGACGGGTACACGAGTCAGAAACCTTACAGCAGCACCGCGTCATCTCGCGAAGATAAAGACAATCGTGAGAGGCCTTACGCATCGGGTACTCGGGAACCGTTTGTGCTCGCGTTGAAGGACGAGAGCAACTTGGCAGACGATTCGTCTTCTGACGATACTAAAATAATCAGGTCTGAAATACCCGCGGTGAATTCCGACGAGATTTTCAGTGAAGTCACAACGGAAAACTCGACAGGCAATATCGTCTCGATCCTTGAGAACGATGTCGTGCCTGAAATTCTACCAACGCCACAAGCGAGATTGTCTCGAGCGCATAATACTACCACGGGCGAAAAACCGACAGAGAAATCTATAAGGTCTGCAAAAAAATCGGAGAACGTAAAAACGTCGACGACCGTGGAGATCGTTCCTTCGCTTCAAGCGAGATTTTCAAGCCCCATCGTAGTGGCCGACTTGCCTGATAGAGAAACGCAGGAGACGGCTGTTGATTATATGGACGATGCATCCGACACGTACCGGCCGGCCGAGAACGCTGAAATTATCTCGGAGGCCAACGCCGAAGGTTCTAAAATAACAGCTTCTGCCAGCATAACATCCTCAGCCATGCTGAACCCACTGCAAGTCGGTATCACGCTGATGAACGCCGATCAAGCTAGATTGACAGATAATAGCGAGCAATCTGCGGCGATCAACATCGAGGATTATCCACAGGACGACCTGCAACGTCTAGCAACTGCGGATAAGGACCCCGCGAGGAACATTGAGACCCAGCCACAAATCGATTATCAGGGTGAGAATTTCGATGGCGACGAGGTCGAGAAGCGTGTTGAAGTTGACATACAAAAAGTTCCCAACGACTCCGTCGAGATTCAAAAGTCCATTGAGCTCTACCATACCGCGCCGGTGCACGAGATTCATTATCCCCCAGAGTACATTCAACAGACTGCAAACCTCGGTGTCATCGAAACGAACAACATCGGGAATTTGCCGAGATCGAAGCAGCCGTACGATCAAGTCGAACAATCAGAATTGCGGCCGACCTACGATATTTATCAAGGTAATATAAGACTATCGATCATTCGCCCCATCATTATTTCTTTGTCTCATTTCAATTTAATTCTAATCTTAAAAAGAAATCAGTTATCAATGAACGTCAGGTGACGCTTACATTTATAAACTTTAATCACTTGAATTTTAATCAGAGAGAGAGCCGTTTTAAGATACCAAATTATGAAAAATATATTAATGGAAATATATTAATGTCAAAATAATACGTCCGTATTTTATTTTTATTTGGCAATTGATTTTTTTATCTTAATATGGAACCATTCGCCATTCCGCTCAAAATTTCAGTTGAAGTTAAAGAATTGCCCTAATAATAATTTCGAGACGATATTAACTTTCACCAAATTTCTTTAGCGCGAAAAAGAAGTCTATGTGACGCAAACTCGCGTTAACATGCGAGGACGGATTAATGCTCGCCATATGCGCGTAATAATACTCGCATTATCGAAGCACGCATCAGCGCCACTACAAATTGCCAGTTTTCACCCGTACGAGGTGGAATGCGGTAGACAATGCGTTAATATTGGACTTCCGTTCTAGGTAATGACCAGGGCGAAAAGAGCGCCATTAAGGCGCACACATCCACGTTCCCGCAGAAGCTCAACCGGCACGAATACAATGCCCTCGAGGACGACGTTGGCAGACCGTCGGCTTCGGCGGTGGGCGCCGAATATTCGTCGAGTACTCACGAGCAGCCGTCCCTCGAGCTGCAGCCGTACAAATACAGCGGCATACAGTCCGTTCTGCTTGCCCCGAGTCAGTTTGATGACACGTTATACGACCAATCTAATGTACGGCACAATTTTAACGGCAACGATAACGGCATACCGCCACGCGCAAAACCCGTCGTAACTTCTACGAGGCAAGAAACAGCGAGCGAGCCCGTGAAACCGTACGTACCGAGTACGTATCAGTATTCGGTGCAGCAATCACATCAACCGTACGATCATCAGCCGCCAATCCGATCGCCGGAGGTAAGGCGGCCGGAAGTCCAGCAGCTCCTTCTCAGGATAATCCCCGAGGGATCGTCCGCGAACGGAGGCTTCCTGGTGCCGCTCCCGCGGCCCTATCCGTTCGAGATCGAGAAGAAGATTCCGGTGGAGCGACTGGTTGAGAAGAAGGTACAGATGCAGGTGCCGGTGCAGGTGCCGGTGCCCGTGCCGGTGCCGCAGCCGTATCCCGTGCACGTGCAGGTTGAAAAGCCGATCCGCCTGCCACAAATCTATCCGCTCCACATTGAACGGGTGGTCGAGAAAAGGGTGCCATATACGGTCCAGCGATTAGTGGTGCAGCCTCCTTCGTACCCGCTGCACGTGAGGCTACCGCCGGCTTACCCGACATACGCGGCGGCACCGATCGAGCAACCGGCGCACGCAACGGTGCCGATAGAAAAGGCCACGGAGAAGCCGGCGGCTCCGTCGCGGCCCTCTCGACCGTACCGTACGAACGTGGACAGGCCTGCCGACAGCAGCGGCCCGAGCGAGACGAGATTTACGAAATATTACCAGAAGCCGCAGGAGGCGATCTATGCCGGCGAAAATGCGAATCACCACGGCATTGCCGGCGGCCTGACGTTCGTGCCGCAGCCGCCGCAGAGCGAGACGAATACGTCGCAGTTTTACAACGTTCCCTACGGTAGACCGTCCACGTACGATTACAATATCGACGTCGGCAAGAATTATGTTCCCACGGCACACTTTTCCAACATCAAACTCGTGATACTGCCGAAGAAGTTTGGCAGTCACGTGATACTGCGGCCGCACACGCCGTCGTACACGATACCGTCCTTCGGACGGCAGATCTTGTACAATCTAGTGGAGAAGGATAAGGCGGTCAAGGACGAGTACGTGGGTCCTGCGCCGCCGCGCAAAACCTCGCAGGGCAAGGTGTACCCTCAAATAAAGTCGCCGCTGTTCTCCACGAGCGCCGCTCAATCATTAGCCGGCCTGAGGAAATCCAGGCAGCCGGAAACGCAGGGAAGTTTCAGACAATCGAAAATGGAGTACGGCTTCAAGCCGCCTATGATACCGTCCATTCAGTACGACGAAAATACCGCCAGTAAAGTAGAAAATTAACGTAACGGCCTATAATAGTAATAGTAACATTGAACAAGCGTCTAAAGTGCGCCATAAAAAATGTCTACGGAACTTTCCAATCTTTCAAATGTTTCTCGGGCACTTTTTAAGACACTTCTTGCATTCCTGTGCTCTTCGAATGTTTTAAAACAATTCACGGATACGCGATTGGTCTATTGAAAAATAGATATTAATGTATGGATAGAAAAGAACCAACTTACAATATTTCATATCGATGAATTTACTTGTGACACAAATTTTAGTGTTCTAATACCTTTTATATACATATATACATATATATTTATTATTGAAAATTATCTCTTTTAATTATTTGTATGCTGCGTTCTCTAGTTTATTCAGAATTTAATAGTGATTTAAAATTTTGCAATTCATTAGCGTTTTATCTTATTATATTTTATAATGATATTATAACTTGTACTTTTATACCGTGTTACCTTATAAGTATCAAAAATTACTTTAGTATAATAAATAAAAAGCGATATGGTTTGCAAATATTATAACATGTAGTGGTAAGAAAATTTTTTGTCGTAGTATTGTTAACCATAAATAGAAAACACAGTTTATTACTGTTAATTAATATTGTAATGTAATAACGATAGTTACAACAATGGAATGGATGCATGTGTAAGTTTTGTACAATATATTTTCTATTTTCATACGTCATTTCTTACCGCATTGTTTATTTCATTTTACTCTTATTCTACTTTTATTATATTCTACACTACACAATTAATCCATATTTTTTCATTTTTTTACAAACTTCTACATGTATTATATTCTAAAAATCATTAAAAATTTTATATTTATAACAAAACAACTCCTCCTTTTCTCGATATTACATATATAATATGTAGATTAAAATAAGAGGCACATTAAGTGAAAAATCTTTAAAAAAAATTGCTATGCTTCTAAACGTTAAAGAGACATGAAAAATGTTTAAAAAAAAGTTATGTATTTGATACGTTGTTAAAGGAATTTTACAAAAGTATATCAAAATTTGTTAAAATTTCTACCATACACTATTATTTTCGAGAATTGTAAAATATTTTCCGACAAGATTGAAATTCTTGTAGACATTTAAATGTAATATAAATGGATTCTTTCATACATATTCTCCATTTACTCCTATATACTCTTCAATTTCAACCAGAAAAGCATCTAACTGTTACATCTCTAACATTAATGCTGATTTTTTGCTTCTAACAGGTGCATGCAATCCGCTTATAAAAATCTCTATAAGCATATATTTTTTCTTTTTCATGCGAATTATAAATAGTATATTTTTTCGTACTTATGACAGTTTATTTTATTCTTATGCAAATTTCTAAATCTTATGTTATCATTAATGGATATTATGCCCGCAGTAGATAGCATATAACGAAGCATATTATGAGTCTCAGAGAACTGAATTATCGACATAGATAATTATGGATAAAAAGAGGAATAAAAAAATTACTGTAATTTTACAAATTGTACCAGCAATAACAAGATAGAACTAATAACTTATCTTGACTTTTGGTAATACAATTTGTTTCATTAATATCATCGATGTATCGAAAAATGTCGAAAATACGTGCGACTGTATCTGTATCTGTTGTTTAAATTTAAAACGATATTTTGCAAACGGAATGTAAGTTGTGCGAATAGCACAGCGGAGTGTGTTTCTTCTTTCTTACATTGCCCAATTTCATTATGTTTCACATTCGCCTAGCTAAACTGCATTTTCTATTTGCAATAAAATTTGGCAACACACTCTGTATCTCCGGGTGCATCGTTGCGTATCGTTCAGCGAGCCATGGTGCGATTTTCCGTAATGCCAGCGCTCGCAAATTACAGCCCGCTCGTTTGACTCGTTAAAAAGTCTGACAAACGGTATTTAACGTAGCGCAACGTTTTAATCTGCACGTTGAACGTTAATAAGTCGCGCTAAATGTTTCGCACTTGCAGAAACAAGGTGTTTCTCGCATAAACATTGTACATACATCGTGTAAACAGGCTCGCAAATGGAACATCGAAATTAACACGAATTGATTTCCCGTGTATGTACGTCGAATGTGTGTATGAAAACCGCACGTTTGATACATCTCATTCCGATATTATTTCCCATGGAAATATCCCTCTATAAAATGTAAATATCATACCGCGTCATTGCCCGGCTACTGAATAATCTGCGTTGCTGATGATATACTGAGTCATTTCAACGTAATCGGAATGCTCGGGTTCTCTAAATGGCGCGTCGAATAAAATCGACGGAGAAATTCACAGACGGAACTTAAAGCTTTGAGACTTGTTATTGATTAAATAATTTATTGAAAATAAGCTCCTCTCTCTCTCTCTCTCTCTCTCCCCCTCTCTCTATAGCCGTATATATGAGTTTACAATTAAACAATCATTGTAATCTAACGTATATAAAAATTCGTAGCAGAAATAAAATCAAATTTCTGGAGGTTTCGATGATTTCGAGGTGATCATCGGGCGATTATCGAGGCACTCCCTCGATTCTAATGACGGGTGAAGCTACTTATCCGCGCTTTTTTGCAAGTCATCCGGCATGAACCGGCAATCATCATTCGAGCTCGTCGTTATGAGCACAGTGGTGGGATTCGAGCCATCCAGCCGATGGTGAGGACGCTGTTGATGAGGGAGAGATTGCGTGAGCGCCGGCGCTGCATTGCGAAATGGAATTATCCGCCGTTAGGTAATCATAGGTAAGAAGAGCAAATAGCGTCAAATTTAAATCAGATTGTATCACCGCGCGGCATTCCCGGCCGGTGGCTCTCCTGCTTTACTGTAGAAAGCAAGCAACGCGTAAAACGCATCACTTAGGAAAGTCTTACTTGAGTTTAAGTGCGAGCATAGTACCCCTCGTCAGCTCCGACAGCCTTTGAAGATGACTGTCATGTTGCACGCACGGTGCACGTAATCCTGTATAGTAATAATAATGATCTGTATCCCTCGTAATAAACGTAATCTATAAAACTCAATAACGTAATATATTACGTATTTAGTAATAAAATGTAGAATGGTTAGAATTTTTAATCAAAATAATATTTCTTAATAATTGTATATGCAGGATGTTCGACAACAGGTGGGGCCAAATTTAAGGAGCGATTCTATACGACAAGTGTAAAATAAGAGGAAGATGAAGAATAACGAAATTGTGGTGGAGACTTTATATTGTTTAACTGGCTACTTACACCTATGCCCGGTCCTATAAACGGCCTCTTCATTTTCTAATTGATTTTATATCTTAAAGGACCTAAGGTAAAATTGTAGACTTTACATTGTATTTTAGTTCTACCGTTTGAAAGTTCACGTAATTTTACGCGCCTCCTCCACAATTTCGTCATTCTTGACTTTCGTCTTATTCTATCGATCCTGAAATTTTGTCTCCCTGTTGCCGAACACTCTCATGCCTATATATTGATATATATATTAATTTTGCTACTTTTTCGAGAGAGAGCGTTAGTTCGATGAATTTAATTAATAGAAAATCAACGTCAATCGCAAATTCTTTATTCATTTGCAGATTACACGGATAGGATTTCGTGCAATGTAAAATGTATTTGCGATATCGCTTCTACCAACAATAAGTGCATTTACGGGGCCGACTTAAAGACGATTTCGCATAATGCAGCATCATCTTGACAAAATTGTGAAATAATTTGCGAACGGAACTATTGTTTCGTCAAGACGAGCGGTGTGTCATTAAAAAGAAATAAACTTCTGCGAGACCGGATCGCATGTAAAGAATGGCGATTCGTCCGGGTGGCCCTGTCGTAATATTTCTGTCATATTTCATTAAACGCAACGGTGGTCTCTCTATACCGATGTACATACATATAATACAAATCAGATGTTACAATGAAAAATCGGTGTAATTCCAAACAAGTTCAGATTGCGGGGGAGATGCTAAATCATCCGTCCTTTACTAATTTTCTTTATGTACAACCTAAATCTTTCTCATCATTACTCAATTAATTTTTACTAGCTTTTTATATGTATATATGTATGTATTTATATGCATGTATATGTATTTATATGTTTTATATGTATGTATATGTATACAGTTGCGTACAACTCTGATTTTCAAAATACTCTATGAGTCACAATCTCGAAAGATTTGAGATAAAATATTGTACGTAATCTTATACATGTAGTAATAATAATGACCCTGTATCTTTCTTAAAAGAATTGCTTTTAACTAACAATAAGTAGCATTACTTTTAGTATATCGTTGAAACTTTCAATTCCACAAAAAAGGTATTTTTCAACAAACTAAAGATTAATAATAGGTCCAATGCTTGATTAAAAGTCATATTAATTTTTACTTTCACTTCATCAAATTCTTTCGAAAATTGAAAGTCTCGTCAATCTATTGAGTCATCCCATAACTAATGCGATTTTTTGAGGTATTTTATAAATAAAATAAAAATATATTTTTCACTATTATTGTATTTACAACTTTTTCCTGTCTCAGTCTTAAATTTTCAATTTCCTGTCGTTACAAGTTTTTCAGTCTTGAAGCAAAGAATAAATCAAGCTTCCTTTTACACCGCGTTATTTATGGGATGACTCAATATTCAATTCTGAACGGAGTAAATCTTTTTAGCGCGTCAAGTGTAGCAACGCATAGCAGCGAAATAAATCACGTTAAAATAGCCGTTCTTTACAACTTCAACCTCGAATTTCTCAAGATTGTGGCATGTAGAGCACTTCTAGAGTTATCCTATTGAATCCTGTCGTACACAAATAAAAAAAGACGACGAAAAAAAGAAACGGCCATTCCTTCCTTCGGGCCCCTTTCTCGTTGAACTCTGCTACCGTGCGTCTTTCCAATATATTTCAGTTAATGTAACATGAGAAGATAAAGTATGTCCATAATTGGATTCGCTGTAAGCGAAAGGATTAAATCCGCCGTTTGGGTCTTACGCGGCCTAACTGCTTGACGTAACGAGCTACATACGTTGCGGCATTAGCATATCGTTACGGTTGTCGGTGCACGCCAGTGCAGGCATATTAATATTACGAGGATGATGACACCCCGTTGCTTGCGTACATGCGGAGATCTTTCAAGGACACGCGGGGATCCGCGTGCGTGTTCACAAAAGAAAAAAAAAAGGAAACTGAAAGGTGAGAGAGCGTCGTTAGTGATGCTCCAGATGAGCGTGTGCCCTTCCTCGTGCGCGCACGCGGCGACGACGCGTACAAAGAGGATCGAAAGGCAGGATTTACGGAGCGAACGGGCACGCTGGAGGATTCCGCATAATTAAGGCCCGATTGCGCAATCCTCTAAACGGGAGCGATGTTACTCGCCTGCTGTGCGTGCCTCTCGGTCGTAATCCTGATTCAGGGGCGTTTACATCCGCGCTGAATCGACGCGGCGCGTGTAGGCGATTGTTCGCGGATTAAAATCCCTCCCCGCGATCGCCGAAATCGGTTTAACTCTAATAGAAGCGGTAACCTCAGCCGTTAGATTAACTATTTCCATAGAATTTTGCGGACCACGCGCAGGCACGCCGCGCGAAATCATTGATCTCAATCGCAACGCTGTTAATTTATTTAAAATCTGTCACTTTTATTTCAAGAATTGAAAATTGTTTATCAAGTCTTCTGCCTAGAAGATGTATGCATTATGAATTGTAGAAAAGGACAGGTCTCTCAAACACGGATTTATGAAATATTGGTCTGGACGATGGTCTGTGAAGACGTGTCTTTAATTGATCTCATTAATTCAAGATTTGTATTCACCCATTCAATTTTCTCGGTTGAAAATGATTTGACATAAATATCCACATTAGACCGTCTTTGTAATATTAATAATAATTAATACAACTGTGTGTATCAGCTGAACCCACGCGCCTTCTGCGCAACTTCCCCCTTCAACGTGTCGCGTCCTTTCCAGGGGTCCTGCACGTCTCTCGGCAGCTAACGAGCTCGTTCCCGTGGACCCACTCGCGGACTCGCGCGTTCGCGTCCGTTGGTCCTGCCACTTAATTAAGACTCAATTGCCTAATTAGTCCGCTCTCGAAGAAGGCGAGCAGCGCGGCGCGGCGCGCCGCGCCGCGGGCTGTCCCACGCGATGAAGTAATCAGCTTTCTCCGCGGCGTAGACGGCGGGTTCTACGCGAATCCGCTCTGCTCTGTTCGTCTACGCTCGCTCGCTCGCTCCCGGGGCCCGAAATCGCGCGAGGCGGTCCCGGGAGAACAATGGGAAATAAAGCGCGGGCTTTCCACACGCGCGGCCTCCCTATGTGAACTGGAGTACGCGCGGCCGCCGTCTCTTATACTGCCTACGCTGCCGCTCGAGCGAATCCCTCGGCTCGCTCCCCCGGCGGTGGCGGCGGCGAGGGAGCAGGAAACGGATCTTCTCCGTGGAAGCGGAGAGACGAGAAAGGGAGAGAGAGAGAGAGCTCTCTATATAAGCACCAGTATGCACGCCGAAACGTCACCATATTTCAGCATTCAGTCCAGTGCTCTTCTTCCACTGCACACGGTATCCGAAGAGTCGTATCCCGCACCACCACCCACCCCCGCGATCTCCGTTCCCCAAGCATGGATTTGATAGTGCGACAGGTAAACGCATCGCGCGAGGAAGGTGCCGACTCGTGACACGATAAATCGATCGGCTAACAGTTTGAGCCCTTGCCTTTCTGTCGGGGAATTAATATCGGATCCGCTGGTGCGGCCGCGGGTGTGCATCCGGGGGTTCTCCGCGCCGTAAGTGTGATCGCCAAGCGGGAGATGACGATCCGCCCCCCCTCGTGAGTTTCTGGCAAGGATTAATATCAATATAATTTCGCTGAGTTGAATTTCGCTGTAAGTACGCGTGAAAAGAAATCTATGTTGAACATTGTATCTTATTTCTTCGCGAGTCATTATAAAAGACACTGTTGCATGTATTTGGTACTTAAATAATCGAGTTAATCAGCGAAATTATGTCGGCATTAGTTCTCGGTATCTGCTACTGGGTAAATGCATGCGGTTAATTGGATTGGTATTGAGCATTTATAACGAGGCTTGTTTCATAAACTTTAAATTATAGAGCTATGTACTAAAGCAATGTGAGTTTCTAATTTATATATTGTATACAATTAATCGTTAATTAAGATTAAAGTAAAAATTTGCAAATCAGAAGAGAGAGAAAAGAATCTGTACTATTTAGGAGAGCCGGGGCAAGGTGAATGTCTTGTGTTACTTAATTTGCGTGAGAAATTAGGCGTTACAAGGATAAAGAAAGAATATATATGCAACAATACAAAGCTGAACTCTTTTTGAAACTTACATTCATTTCTCACCTATTGTCTGCTATCACTATTTATTGAGCAAATTGTATGTAACACCAGAGTATACTTTTTGTCCTCGGTTATTTCTGGATGTTGAAAGTATTTTAAATTTGTAAAGGATTAATTAAGGATTTTTTACACAGACCAATAGTCGATGTAGAAAAACCGATTGTCAAATGTATTTTTTCTGGATATCTGATAATCTTTGGCGTTTAGTTGCATATAACATCGCGTACATGCATTTCATTCTATCGTATTTCCTTGCTTTGCTTCCACTTTGTTGCTTTTCTATTGCTTTCTACAAACGGTTCGTGTACCGAGCATTGTCGGTCTTAAAACACACAGCTTCTTCTGGTGGAACAGTAAATTCACATATTTTGAATTGTTTATCGATTAAAAAATATGTATATTAAAAATTCACTATTTCACCAATTGAAACTGTCTTAAGACCGGCAGTGCCCGGCGCACAAAACGTTGATGGTAATGGTATTTAAAAATTCACACCACAAGCCATTGGGTTACATTCTACTCGGACCGTATGCTCTCTGAAAGTCAATCAGTGGGTTATCACTGAAAACAGTGAATAGTCACTGATTTGCAGTTATAAGTGTACCACCGAAAATCGCAGTGATATACTTATAACTGTAAATCAGTGACTATTCACTGTTTTCAATGATAATTCATCGATTGATTTTTAGAGAGTCAGCAGGCATATATTTCTTCTTGATTTGTCATAGCGGTCAATAATTTAACTATTATTAATATTTTGTAGATATGTATATATGGAAAATGAGAGAGGGCGGGAGGGAGAGCTGTGTAAATTTGTAAAACACTGAATTATGGGAAAACGATATACATATAATATTAATTTCAAGCTCTGAAAATGTTCAGACAAAAAATTTACCATTAATTTTTGAGAAAAATTACTACCATCACAGTGTAAAACATGAATTTTATATAGCCAAAAGATTAAACTAAACAAAAAGTTCAACGGTACTCTTGATTTATTACACTTATCTGTGTCTGCAATTAGTAAAAGTAGAGTAAATTAACATCAATTGTTATATAAAATTTTACATGTTATGTACATTACTTAAGTTTTGATTAGATGTTTAAAGAAATTATTTTAATAAAAATTTTTTAATTTTTTAAATATCTATTCCATCTATACTATGCTGTTCTCTATTCGAGAATATTACAAAATTGTTAAAAGTTAGAACTTTATAATAAGAAATAAATTAAATTGATACAAAAGATCAGCACAAATTTATATGTAAATAACCAATTCAGTATATAAAACAACTATGGTAGATTAATAATACGAAAGAATGAAGAAGCAGTAAGATAAGGAGAACATCTTGAAGTAAGAGAAAAATCATGCAGATTGGATCTCTAATGTGCTCCACCTCTCAACAAGTGTAACAGCGATATTAATACACTGTCATTACTAAGACAATACTTTCAGTCACATACTCGTACATATATGTTGCAAACAATATAAAGTATATTGAGATGCATTGTGATTAATACACGTAATTATGTTCATATATACAATCAGTATACACTTGTGTATTTGCCAAAGCAAAAATATTTAGTTAATTAATGGTATAGAATAAAAACCGTTGATTCAAGTGGCTTTCATTATTTAAAACAATATTTTCTGGAAGATGCTGGTTTAGAATGTTTAAAACTACTCTAAAGATTTGTACGTACACATATCATGGATGTATCAAATTGTGTTTCATAAACACATATTCTACATCTATTCGAAAGCACAAAATGCCATTGATTATTTATCTTAATATTATATATGTTTTATAATTTTCTCGATACTAATTATCTTTGTGCTCATTAAAATTTTTTTAAATATCTGATATAAGTTACAATGCATAAATTGAATAATTACGACTCCTTTATAAGTGTCGGATTAATCAACCGTTGCAACATTCGACGAAACTAATTTGTGCCCACGCGAGATTTTATCTTCACTTATACTCAGACATTAGTGTGCTAAAGCAGCTACTTAATTATCTGAAAAATCGTGCGTATGAAAGACGTTTTCCCGCGGAAAAGTCACGGATTACGTGCCTAAGAGCTCTCTGATTCCTTTACCGTTATGTTTAGTCTTGCGTCAGTTTTTAAAGTACCGGTGATGTAATATCGTGCACCTTCTCACGATACGGCAGAAACGAGAGAAGAAAAGATAGAGGCACATGAGTCTAATTTCCCGCCTACGCAATGTGCGCGTTGTTGATCATCTGACGTTCTCATCTGACGCATGGAAAGCATCCCTGGGAAGTCATCGGAAATATTTTAGAAACTAATTAGCGTTCCGCTGACAGTCTTGTTTAAACCTTTTTGTCTGAACCTCTACACCTTACTTCGCTATATATTTAACATAACATACGGGAATGTGTTAACGTGCAGATGCCTGCACGTATTGTGAAGATAAATTCCTTTCGTTCCCACGATTAGTTTAATTCAGATCATTTACATTGTTTAATATTAAAAACCGATAAACGCTAAACAATCTCATAAAAAGCAATACATAGAAACCCGAGAAATTTGATGAGGATTTAAATAAAAAAAAACGTTTTTTAATTTACTATTTTGTAGCACGAACAGAAACTTGCTGCAGGAGCACATAAATAATATGCGATTATATATAATATAATAAATAATATAATAAATAATATAACGATTATGCAGAGATAATAATTTAAAGATATTTTTAAAGTAACAGAAAAAATTTGATATTTTAATCTTAAATTTTCAATTTCCGGCGATAAAAGTCTTTCTTTTGAAAACTAAAGTATAAATCAAGTTCCTTTCTATAATATCCATGGGATTATTTATGGTATGACATAATAACAGTCCTCGCTACATTTATGCCGATATATATGATGTTGAACAGAATGCAATCGATGAATATTAATTTTTTGTTTTGAATATTTATCACTCTAGGTAGAATTGGGTAGCGTTTCAAATAGAATTTATTTCTTCCGAACGGATTCGAACGCTCGTCAATAAAATTAAATATTTATAAGACATTTTTATACTCGCGTCGTTCGTATTTATGCGTCTTTATTGATATAATAAATTTTTCTATAAACAGGTGCTGTTCGCCCTGATGGCGAGCATCAGCATCGTGCTCTGCGAGCCACCCCTCAGCAATCAGTACGGCGTTCCCGGAAATTACGCAGGTGGAGGTCATCATGGGGCACAAGGTGGTGGGAACGGATTTGGGGGCCATTACGGTGGGCACGATAATCAAGATTACACGGATAATGAGGTATTTGTAATACATATCTGTGTCTAAGCAACTTTTTCAATGAAATTGCGCGCACATTGAAGACAATGTATCCCATGTCCCAATATGTCTTCATCATAACTTTGCCGTTTTCTTTTTTATACACTCGCTAGCTTCGTCCCTCGAAGCAGGATTCGACTTTTTCCTAACAGTAATTAACCCTGTGCTTATCAACAACTTTTTCAAAACATCCAGCATAAAAGATTTGTAATCGTTGAGCGAGTCCTTCGAAGTAATTCCAAATGAAATGGCTAATGCCACGAAGTTCAATTATTTGGCAATAATGCAAACGCTAATGCAGATGTATCGGCAATACGTAAAAGAGTAATTTAGAATTTTTGCCGGGATGAAATATTGTAATTGCCCGATTAAAAATTTATGCAACACTGATCTGACATAACGTGGGATCGAATCTCGGCCTATCATCTTTGATCTTCATTCGATGATTACTTCAATAGCTGGTGCAACACGTTTTGCGAAATCAGACTTCAAATTGCGTGATCGTAATTAAGCCAGACGCTTGTTAAGTAATTAAGCGGTGCGTCTTTTTTTTGGCAAGCTATTTTTTTATAAAATAATGCGAAATAATTAGTATCAATTAGAATGACGGAGAAACATTTTTTATACTCACGTGCTACAATTTACTTCTCGTAATCGTCGATGACTTTCGAGGTTGCGATGTAGATTTGTGAATTTAAGATGACTCATGTGTCGATATTCCGCCGATGGTTTTGACGATTGCGCAATCCGAAACATTAAGGAAAAAGCATATTGCGTCATCGGGACAGGCACTCTTTTGTTCACAGAATTCAGTGTTGCTTTCTAAATCTAGATCCCTGCTCGTAATGTACGTATCGCTGATTATTCCTGATGGCTCTTGCGAAAACGCGCGGCACTCCCGCGGTCAAAGTTGAACACTACAGATCTGGATTCGGCCATGTCTTGGAAATAACATTGAACTCTTTGGATAAAGAAAGATCTGACCTCATTACGTAAACCTTGTTCGAAGGAGCCGCGCTCTGCGCTTGAACTAACTCTATTTTCTGAATGACCTCACGATTTTTTGTAGGCAGTGAGTAGGATGAAGCCCGAGGTACTTAATGTTACATTATGATCGAGACGTTTCTTTTATCTTTTATAATCTCTCACGATTCGCAAATGATATCATTATGGGATAGCCTCACTTACCACAAAGTGAGGCTGTATCATTTCTCACAGCGAGACATTTATTACTTTCAACAGTAATCAACACCGTAGGAGAGAATTATTTGCCGATTGAAGTATTTATAAATCAAATCAATTAATTGGGAAATTAATATGAAAACGATAATCGAGTGACGAGTGTAATGTTCAATTATTACCATCAACAATGCCGGCTTGCATCAAATTAAGAACTCACTTGTTTTAAAACATTTTAATAATTAAAAATAAAAACTTTAATTTTTTGCATTAAAATTTTTTTATTTATTATATTTTTTTATATAATATAAATTGTAGATATTTAATTACGAGAATAAATTCATTAATTATATGTAAGACAGTATATGTCGTGAAAATATTATATTAGGATGCAATTAAAAAATTAAATTTTTTTGCCATTTCTCATATCTGAATTGAAAAAAAATCAGCGTATTTTTCTCAGAAAAGCAAAGCACTGCTTTGCACAATATATTTCGCAATCAATTCGGTTAAAAATCTATGATCGAAAGACGTTTTATATGTGTTCTGCTCTTAGCCTACTACTCGCACATTGTTTAAACACGATTACGTTAATCGAGGATCGACGCATCGCGTTCAAGTGTCTCGAGATGCTACAAATTCGAGTCCGAGAGCGAGAGTGTGGCGCAAACGGGGATGATGTAACAATATTAATAGGGTGAACCGCGACCGCGGGCATAATTCACGGTAAATCGTTATTGCTGGTTAGCTAATCGTCCCAGGGATCTGAGCGCGCTCGCGAGATGCGCGTTCGCATCTCGCGCGGATCTGCCCGTCGGCGAACCGGCCGCTGCTGGTGATAGTAGCGGTGATGGTTGTGTGTACCATGAGCCAGATTAAATCGCGCCGCGGCTTCTCTTCAGCATCGTCGTCCGCTCTACTTTGCCGGGACGAAAGGAAGGAAAGCTTGTCGTCCTGACTAGGGAGGTTGCATCATTGCCGCATTAATAATGTGCATCCATTCGTGCTATTTTTTCACTTATCACCTTTCCTCATTTATCTCTGTACTTTTACATCTTGCGCTCTCACTACCTCTCTCTCTCTCTATATACAATTTTCCCTGCCGTCTTTTACGAGATGAGGGAAAGAAGAGGAATTCGCGATCGGTTTGTATAACACTTTGTTTTAGCCCAAGGCCTACGAGTTCGGCTATTCCGTGAAGGATCAGGCTACCGGAAACGATTTCGGAAGGCAAGAGACGAGCGACGGGGAGACCGTTCGCGGCGAGTATAGAGTGCAGCTTCCGGACGGTAGGACGCAGATTGTCACCTACACCGCCGACTGGAGGACCGGTTTTCACGCTGATGTCAGGTACGAGGGTACCGCGTCTTATCCGGACCAGTACAACACCGGGTACAACGCTGGTCAGGGCGGTGGTTTCACTGGCAATCAAATCGGCGGCGGATACCCCGGAGGTGCGTAGCATAGGACTCACTTTTCTCGCGACCCTTTCAGGCACGCTACACGTAATCTACGTGACATTTTAAAGAACGAATCATATTCATCAAACTATACGAAAAATACTTAATCAATACGAATCGAGAAACGAATTTTATCGGCAATAAAAGCGACTTATAATTTTGGCAACTCGGACAATTTGCCTGCACTTTTGCGTAGAATATATTTCCTCCTGTCGCTCGACGAATAAAAATATCAAGAAGGAATGAACGAGAGGCGAAGTGTTTTTACGAGATATTGTACGTGGAAACAAAATCTCGTTGAGACGTTCTGTATAAGTTTTATTACTGTGCAGTTACGTTAACTCTTGATGTTTTATGTCAACAGGTAACCAGGGTGGTTACAACTATCCACAGAGCGGTGGACACTACAATAACGCCAACAACTATAACAACTACCAGTTTGGCTCTAACTCCGTAGACAGCTATAACAACTTCGGTGGGAGGAATAATTACCCAGGAGCACCGTCACCCACATACGGTCCCTCTTTCCGTTAGAGCACATAAGAAAGTATTATATAGGATATACCGATCCCGCTTGTGAGCGCAGTCTTTTTTCCAATAAAGACATTTTTTCATAAAAAAAAATTCTTGTTTGTGTAATACCAGCGAACCTTGATCTTATTGTTACCAATCGCGCGTATCTTTGACAATCTTCGGCGTTTTCTCGCGGTGTAAAAAGTCACGGCGACAAGCACGCGATCGAACTGTTGCGACGTCAATTAAAGTGTGACAGGTGTCACATTTCCGTTATAATTCTACAGTTGATGAGGGGAGCGTCTTGATTATTCGACCCTGCCTACTGCACTCACCCTGTGTCTACCTCGCACAGTCTCGTAGGTAATCTCGGAGGAAATGGAAACGAGCGCCCCACATTTGTCTTGTGTTTCTCATATGGAGAAGAGATGAGATGAAATTTTCTGTGAACTCTTTCCTGCAAACGCAGTTACTCCCGAGGCTTGTACCAGCGGCGTTTCCCTCCCCAGCGAGTTGTGCCGTTCGTAAAAGAAGTTCATACAACATTCCCTCGGTACATTTAAGAAAATATACCCTCCGAGGATGTAACAATGTTGTTTTTTTTTTTTAAGTAAATTTATGTTGACAAGATTATCCTACATTCCAATTGCGGCTTATGTAACTCTTTCGATGAAGAAGCGTAAGCTGTGGCTTTTTTCTTATTATGTCAAGTTCAGCACCTGGGACACTTGCAAGTACATCGTCACGAGATGCTGCTGCTTTGCATTATGTCATCAGGAAGTTTACGTGCACGTCCGTAGAAATAAACTTTCTCCAACGTGTAACGTCTAAATTGCACGCTGCAAATTTCATTAAATCGCAAATACACATTGCCACACATTATTAAAGTATCTCTGTGCCATTATTATTCCATATGATCGTGTCATGTTAATAGCATAGTGGAAATATAAGATAACTTCGTAAAACCAGTTCATTTAATCTGCATATGAGATTATTTTAAATAACGGTTTGGAGTGTTAATTTAGTATTCATATTAATCGCGTATTCATATTAATAACATAATTATTAAGCTACCGCTACATGTTTCTTCGTTGCAAGTAATACATGCGCGCATGCGTGACATGCGCAACATTTAAATTAAAATAAAATTGTGACTAAATAATTTGTAACATACATAATAAATATATAAATAATTTCTGCAAGAACAGATATTCATTTTTTTTCCCAGTATGTGGATTCGTCATGTTCCGAAATGTAACGATGTCATTCGAAACATAAGGAGTGAAGGCAAAAATAATCGCAGGACACGCGGATGTTCTTATTCGAGCTATTATTACAAATTTGCCGATGCGCACAGATCTGGGCTATTACAAATTTGAAGTGAATCGAATAAAGGCGAAATATCTAGGGCAATCGCGTGCGCGCGAAAAAAGTTCGCGAGATTTACGAGTTCGACCGCGAACGAACAAGCCGGGGGATATTCCGACCGTGTTTATTGGTCCTCTCTGGAGAAAGTCACCGGGTGCATTTGTGCCTAAGTGCGACTCGCGTGAATCCTCAGACCGATTAAGAAACGCTTCGTTAAGGGATTCCTGTCTGATTTCATCTTTAATGCCCGCGATTGCTCCAATAATATATTTCTCCGTTCAGAATCTCTCCCCTTCTAATTGACTCCTATGTCGAGAGTCGCATATAATGAAGGAAGCGGTCTATTAATTGCATATATATTTCTGAGCCTTTGTACGATTCAATAAAAGAACACAAAATCTTGCAATATCGTAAGACGATTTACTACAATTTAGTAGAGTTTATTACAATCGCGACGTATATATTTACTTTTACACTGTTGAAGATATTTTACATTATCTGCAGTAATATTAAGCATTTAAAACTTTTACTTTTACTCTAATGTTATGAGACAACATGAAAATAATTTAGAGATTTGCAAAAATACACATGTCTTAATGCGTCAAGTTTTTACACCTCATCTTGGTCTTGAGGTCATTTTATACAGCTTAAGCTTTGCGTAAGTAGCGAACTTTCTTTCAAACTACATATCACATAGAACGTGTTTTACGAACTGAAGAAGTCGCGGATCATTTAGCGTCAATTATAAATTAATATTGCATAATCAAATACTTGGGTAACATGATCTATTTTTACACAGTTCATTCTTTAATAATGTTGAATACTTTCTTATTTCTGTTTTAATTTTTCTTCGTCGCAGATTTGGATACTTCTTTGTGTACTTTTTCAAATCGTTTTTGGAAAAAATCACTTTAGAGAATCTCATTGTTCAAAAGAGTATCGTTGCGTTTTGAAACTCTTGCTAAGGAAACGATCGTCACGGTGTAAAAAATAAATAAAAAAAGGCCTCGATGGCCCTGGAGTGCCTCATTCAAGCACACCTTTAGAAATGGATGTAAGGCTAGTGGACCCGAAAATAGATATGTTGAACTACCGTTTCGTGTTTCAGACACCTTTGCACAAGGCATCCAGACACTGCGATCCCCACCCTGACTTACTTCACACACGTGGAATCTCGCTTCTTGAGAGGTGACGTATCCGAGCTACATCAGATCTGATGTAGCTCGGCCGCGGGCTGAAGAAAAGAGGCCCGGCAGAAGAATAACCATGCACACATATCTACGGCGCGCGTGTAGCACATGCGACGAGCCTTCCGCATCGCGTGGAATATTGCGTAATGCCGTTTATCCCTGATTACAGGGCAAACCGCGCATCCGCGAGCCTTCACTCGGATGAGTTACGTGGCCACCAATCCGCACCGCATATCTACCTGCCGATGCCGCACTCCGTGCCGATCCATAATTAGTAGCAATTATGCCGGGATCAATTAAGCACCCCCGATCGCCGCGTATTGACAAATCGCGTTGCGCGCGTTTACCCAGCGAAAAGTCAAATCCGTTGATTGAAACGAATTCAACCCTGTGCGGTACACGGGGGAATCAAATCCAAGCGTCCGAATTTCGCAAATCGCAGATATAACACATTTACGAAGGCAAATTCTTCAATTTCTCTATTCTACTAATATTTACGTCTTCGTTATTTCAGCAGCTTGTGTACTTTCGCGATATCGGTGGCAATAGTGGAAAATCACGTTCATGTAAAATTTCATTCTTGTAAAATCTTGTATGTAAAATTTTTGTTCTTCGCGACACCGGTACATTTTAGGCGATACGAGATTTAACGTGATTGAACGGTCTTCGACGTTCGTGTGCGTGAAGTCGTTAACGAAAGCAACGCGCACAAATAGACTGACAATGAGGTAGGTGATAAATGGAAAGATGGCCCACGCATATGCCGGAATCCGACAGTGTTTGTGAAACAGCTGATTAATGCGGTGATCGATGGGTCCGGATTAACCTTACGGCGCGTACTGCATTTTCAGTTTTTATCTCTCAGATTGTCCGAGGGGGAAAGGACGCATGCTATTCCCACAGCAAAATTCTTAATGAGTGACAAAGGCAGAAGTGGAACGTAATTAAGAGCTGTGTTGAGATTGTGAGACGCCCGCCTAGAGTGTAGGGAAGTCCAGGTTGAAACCCTGGCTGAGGTGATATTTTTCGCAAGAAATTTTCTGTATTATTAAAAATGCCGGACACGGTCAAGAAAACGCTGAAGTTGGTAATCAGGGGTCTTTGAAAACAAACTCGTAAAGAAAGCGGTTTCTGAGAGAAAGTAATTTTCAGAAATTATATAGCCGTGCAGATCTGGCAGTTGTAAATTCAGTTTATGTTAGAATAGCGTGATACGTCGCGTTGTATTGGGATACCCTTATTCCCGTACAAGTCTTACGTAACGCGTGTAAGATCGTCCAAAATTGTTAAAACGTGCAGCAAAAGGTCGTTATGGTGTAGCCTCTCTGAATACACGAAACGGACGAAATTTGCAATTTCCACGAAATTACTGCCGTGCATATCTGATTTGTAATAATATCCCGAAACAACTTGCCATAAAGGTACCACCGTTACATTGTAATTACGAGGTCATCGCGTAAAAGGTACGCGAAGTTGAAGTTCGCGATGCGCAGTGAAACCGATCGTTCGCGGTGATCGATTCGCCAATCATTCACAGCTCACGCAAGCACATAAACTGATATTCTTGAAAAAAAAATTGACTTCTTTAAAACAGATAAAAAGATGCCGATTGCATAAGCTTGTTGCGCCCAGAAAAAAAGATTCAGTTAGGTTAAACAAATGAGATACGTTGAAATCACGTTTCTTCGAATCTATAACATTTTCATTTATTTCTACTGAAGCATTTGCTAGATTTGAACAAACAGATGTGAATTCTCTCCGAAATTTCAGTCTCGGCCAAATAAAATTTTGGTTAAGATAAAGAAATCATTTCTTTGACATTAAGCAAAAGTCTAGCGGGGTCAAAATTTAAAGAAAACTTGTATGATTCGAAGAAACTTTTTCCCGGATGTGGAAAAACGTATTTTAAGGTACAAAACTATATCATGTCGATTCACTGTATTTTAATGCAAGAAATAACTTGTGTATCAGCAAATCATCTTTTGTTTTTTTTTGTCAAAAATAAGTGTATGTAGACGTGCCTTATTATAAACCAACGAGAGAAAGAGATTACATAAGAGCAGAGAAGTCGCTATATTTTTGTGACACTACAGATTTAATTACATTTTCATACAATGACATTTAGATAATGTTACCTTCGCCAATGCACATATCGATATTGTAATAGCAGTAACGTACTTAATTTTATAAGACGCGTAGCGAATTTGGCATCGAGCCGTGTAGGGCGAGGCAATGGCAATCAGAAGTTGCGATATTTAATTAAAAGTTCATGCGTATCGATCGAATATGCGTACGGATTAGAAATGCAAATAAAATGTGACGTATGTATGTGAGATGTTTTCACAATCGCTAATGTGCGATATGGGTAACAGCTGTAAACAGCAACTGCGGCAACGTGCATATTAGTAAGGCACTACGGGTGTTATTTCAAATTGCGCTTACCGTAAGATCTTTCTAAGTACACAGTACAGTAATAATAGTAATAATATTCGTTAACCATCGCCCATTAAGTTCCGTATTACGTGGGCAACGCATAGGATAGCGTGCTTATTGAATTCAAGAATTCGCGAACA